AAAGAAAGAAAGAAAGAAAGAAAGAAAGAAAGAAAGAAAGAAAGAAAGAAAGAAAAAAGAAAAGAAAAAGTACCACAGTATTTCTGTATTTCTAGCGTTGGGGGCTGTGTTTGTAAGAGAAATAAAGGTAATAAATATCTCAAAGAGACATATGGAAAAATAACTCTCAGATTTAGCCCAGTTCTGTTTTAGTGTGTTTATTCTTCTCTACTTGATTTCCAAAGTGCAACATATTCTGACGCTTTAGAAATCAAACAAACCAGGGACATTGTTCAGATGTCAAGCCGTGCCCAATTTTCCACAAGATTCAAGAATCGTGTATAAAATGCAGCCAACGTACACATAGCTTTAATGAGAAGCCTGTCATGTTGCCCCATAAATTTATTGCCTGAGAACTTAGTTCAGCCTTTTGCTAATGCCAGAATGCTCTGGCTTTTTATTTTCTTTACGGCATAGATTTTTTTTAAAAATGCAAATTTTTCCACACTCATCTTTCCCCTAGCATGGACAAGATTTTCAGCCATTTATGACACATATACATTTTCAAGGGGGGGAAAAAGTCTCTGTAACAAAGTTCTGTTTATGCCATTTTAAAGTTGACTAGTCAGGAGTTTCGATTCCCCGTTCAATTCTATTTTGACAGGAATGGTAGTCCTCCTTTGTTTCCACTCTGCATTCTGATCACCAAACACCCCTAGAGTATTAGAACCTATTTGTGTGTGTGTGTGTGTGTGTGTGTGTGTGTGTGTGTGTATATATGGAAAGTCACCATAGCCAGACCTCATAGAATTGCTGTGCATTTAGCTGCGACATCTAGCAGGTTGAATATATTTATATGTGTTTCTCTGTAGCGCTTTGCCCGTTGATAAGGATTTTAAATCACTGCTCCTCAAAGACCTTTTCTGATTCTGCTCTTTGTGTGTTAAGTGTCCACTCGCAGTTTTTTACACGCTCAAGTTACTGCTTCGAATGTTCTACTCTGTTAGTTTCTTCATTGGATTAACTGACATGTATTATTGAAGTGATCGGTGGTACTTTGTGCAATTATGAATGTTGAAGATTAAAGTACATAGTTATTAATTTGTTGTTTGCTATTCATATGCTGAGATCTGCCAAATTCTCTTTTCCTCTCTGTGGAGATGATCTGGGGGGGCTGCAGGACCGAAGTGATTTGAAAACATGCCTCTTTTTTTCACAGCATCTCCCCAGAAGGTACTTATTCTTTGTGTAAAAATCAGGACATCATTCCAACCAGAGCGAGGGACCTTAGCTCTCCAGACAGAAGGCCTGGGTTTCTCCTCATGTTCAGGCAGGGGCTGGTGGTCCCTTAAGCACCTCACAGCAGGACTTTCTTGTCAGTGTTCCAGGGGTTGTCGGGCAGCACCTGCCTGGGAACCTGTGACCCACCCCCCCCGACCTCCCCACAGGATGGCACTTGCGTTAATGATGTATAAATGCAGTTCCACCTGAGCAGTGCTGATAACCAAAATCTAAATAATAACCCCCGTGCTTTAAAAGGGGTGTGTCTTTAAGGAAGAAAAGAGAAAAGCAAAGCAGCAAGAAAAGGAGTGAGGGGCTATGGCAGGGGTGGAGGGCTGTGGGGGGTAGGGTGGGGGAGCTACATTACTCACCCAAAAATGAAAAGCATATCTTGGGCTGTAATAATGCCAGGGTTAATCGACTGGAAGCTATAGAATGATGCAAATGGCCTCAGAGTAATTTTATTTTTTGCCTTTAGTAGAACACCAAAATCAGCGCAGTAATGTCGGACTTGTTATAAATCAGAATTACAAGAGAACAAATACTAGTGTTCATTAGTTGCTGAGGGACTTTTTTTTTCTTTTTCCTGTGGAGCTATTGAGATTATACAAAAATTCTTAAGACTCCAGGCCACTCACCGAGAAAACAGGACAAAACAAAAACCTTCTTTTCCCCAATTCCCTGGTGGAATATCAGTGAAATCAGAGTCCTCAGCTAAGAAGAAAGATGTAGGTAATTTTTCTTGTGCTAGTTTCGGCTTCTGTCATGTCACATATTGGTTATAGATTCAGTCTTTATGTTATCCGACATTTTGGCAGGGGTGGGGGTGTCATTAATTTCTGTCCAGCAGGATTTACATCCCCGACTGCCTTCTTCCCCCCACCCTGATGATTATCACCAAGAACCTTCCTTTCCCCAGTTGCAGCCCATGGTCATTGTCTTTCTTGGTCATTTAGATTCATCACAATTCTTTCAAAGGCATGATTCCTATAATATTTTTCTTTTCTTTTTTACAAGAAGCATCAGAAACATACATTATAATTCATCAGTTTAATTATGTGGGCATAATGATATGCTTATATGCAGATCAATTAATTTTTTGACTAACAAATATATTTTTTTCCTATAAAAACAGGAAATAAGATGCACTGTGCTCCCAGAGTGTTCAGAGTACGTTTGGGGTAGCAATACTTTCCCAAAACGGTAGAAATTATTGACACTGTTGTCGCCGTGTCCTTCCGCTGATCCGTAGGTCCGTTATGGTGTGGAAAATGTAAGGATGGAAATTTGTCAGCACTGAATTCTGACAAAACAGGATTCAGTGCGTGATTTTATGCGTGTTTACAAAAGTCTATTTGTCACGCCGCGATCCGCGATCTCCTGGCGGTCTCACTCTCTGATGCCGATCCTCCTTTGTTCTAAGCGCAGAAGCAAATGCTCTTCGCCTGTGTAACATCTCGAGGCATCTGGTAAAATGCGTGGCAAACAGAGGCCACTTATTAAATGCTCCTGACTGATGGACTGCCTTTCTTAAAGGATGCAAATACGTCTTCCAGTAGACGTTATTTTGACTATAAGCTCCCAGAGGGCGAAAATCACCAGCGATGGGACAGTGACCTTTAGGAAGCGTGCGTGAATAAACGCATTGAAGCTGTCAGGACTGCGGTCTGGGGTGGGGTGCCCATTACGGGGGCCACTGGGAGCCGGCCTGCCGTTCTGGAGACCCCGGCAAGCTCGTTATCTTTTGTCCCTGTGTACATCCTGCTTTTGTAGGAGAGGCATTCACAAGCCTGAGATTTTTAGATTACCCACTTCAGGGGGCACTCTGGGAGATGTTAGGGCTGTTACTATTAACCCGGCTATGTGCAGTCCACCGGCCCGTTTTCATGGTCCCCTCAGGCTCTCAGTAGCCTTTGGAATTCATCAAACACAGGTAGCACACTGTCCCCATCCGAGAGTGGGTTCTTTTTCTCCCTTGTTTCAAATCTCAAAACTCTCCAGATAATGATCCTAGCAAACACGCTTACTGTGTGTTAGGCCGTGTTTCTAGACTCTTCCAGGTGTGTTTTGGCTCAGTTCTTACAACGTTCCCATGAGAGGGGCACCCCATTTTTCAGGTGAGGGGACTGAGGAGCCAGTGGAAATTAACCAACTCGTCTCAAGCCCCTAGCCCCTGAGCTAAAGATGGAGAAGCCTGGAGGCGACCTGAGGACTGTGGTTTCTGAGCAAGTTCATCCTGACCACTCCGCTCTGTCTACCCACATCAGCTAGGCGCTGCGCTCTCCCTCGGTAACAACCCGATTCACCAACGTGAATGCAACTTGCCCTCAGGTATCAGCCTCCCTTCCCTCCTCATCCCCGGCAATCCCACCAAAAGCTTGTCCTCCTCGGCCTGCACAAAAGGCAACAGGAATTCAGAGACCGCACATCTGCTCCCAGGAGTATGTATTTCCACAGATCCACTGTCTGTCTGGCTCCCACCGCCTGTCCTGAGAGCAGGGGCTCCAGGCTTTCTGGAATCCATTCTGTGTCCGAATGAAGACGAATGAGGTCTCACTTAAAAAACAGGAGTTACAAACTTCTAACCTGTCAGAAAAGAAGGAGGCTGTTTTCGTAAATTGAACTATTCATTTAATAAACCACATTGATATGATTTGTGTCCAATCGTTCCTTTCCTTT